TGGGGAAATGTAAAAAAAAAAAAAAAAAAAAAAAAAAAAAAAAAAGAAAAAAAAAAGCCCGTTTGGAACATTCCACTGGTGAGCAGGTTAGATTGGAAACAGGTGAGCATAAAAAGAAGCATGCCAAAAAGGTTCGCTTATTCACATTTGAGGATGCCGTGAGGTTCACCACTTTGGGAGCAACTGTTTGAGCCAATAGTACATACAACAGTTGAAGAACAACCTTTCCCAACGTTCAATTGCAAGGAATTTACGGATTTCCTCATGTGTGGTCCATAATAGCATCAAAATATTTCAGAGACTTCCAGAGAAATCTTTGCACAGACGCGGCAAGGCCGAAAACCTTCGATCCCCTTGAGAGCACCGCATTAAAAACAAGCATCGTTGTGGAAAGGATATTGGCTAAGTAGATCAATCAGCAGCGTCTCAACTGACTCCAACTGCCAGCACCCCCGATACTCCCATGAAGGAAATTCAATTACAAAGTGAGGCAATAATAAATTCGTTCAAGACACTAAAGAAGAAACCCATTACGAATTCCAAAGTAATGAAAAGTATGAAACGCTGAGCATTTATTTCAAACAAGTATGCATAACAAAAAAAAAACAACAACAGTCAGTAAACCAGCCAAAAGAAAAACGGATGCTCATCATAATTTGACTTCTCTTCTGAAACGAGTTCTTTGCAGAACCTCCTCAAACAACAACAACAACAAAAACCACAAGCACGTGATACACAAACAAATACTGAGTTTTGCCTTGAAATATATATTTAGGGTTAACCTAAAAATACAGCAAGTATGTTTTATACGAGATTATCCAACTTGTGTTTCAGAGGCAGAGAAATGACCTGAAGCAAAGACAGGCACAACATCCTCCACTTATTGTCGCACACGCCTGTGCACACAAGCACACGCATACACCTGACCCACTTTCTGGGGCCTGCAGACTTCAACAGACACTTTCCATCTCTCTCTTTCTCTCTCTCGCTCTCATACTCTCTCTCACACACTCTCTCTCTCTCTCTCACACACATACACACACACACTTTTAGACAACAGGTGGAGCGTGTATTCAAAATAAAGAGTGTGATTATGTAGAGATAAACGAGGCCACGTGTTTGGGCTGAAGTCTGACCCAGGACATGGTGGACTATTTCGTTGCCTGTGCATGTGTGTGTGTGTGTGTGTGAGAGAGTGAGACAGAGAGGGAGAGATTTCAGCGTCTCATAGTCAGATCAACATACCTTACGGGAAATAACAGTTCTGTATTGGCAAGACCAACTGAAAGATTTATTGCGCCGATACCACGAGTGCACATACGCTAGCAGGCTGCCAATACATTGCCACACTAAAGAGTACAACAATTGTTTGATTTTGTCAATTTTTAGTCCGAAACCCTCAAACCTGACCACAAATGCAGAGACTCAATCGAAGCATGCAGTAAACAAATCATCGAAATAAAACTTTATGGAAAGTAAGTAAGTAAGTCCGAAATAGGACAGCGTGCTTCAAACAAGATCACAACACCAAACATGCTCTGTAATCGTCAAGTCTCTGAAAGGGCCAGACAGCCGTGTCACTGAACATTTCCAGGTCAATATCATCGCTGCACAGTCCCGCAAATCACTCGGTCACAATCCCCAATTGCTCTCTAGCAACAACACAATGAGATCAGGAGAGTGTATTACAGTAAGCGTGTGTGTGTGAGTGTGTGTTACTGACTGATGCAAATTGACAGCTGAAGCAGAGCCATGTGCCAAACCATCAGCCTGGCACCCACTGGGAGTGCTGTCTCTGTCATTCTCCATCTTTCTCTCTCTGGCTCTCTTTGCGCACACACAAGCAGAATATCCTTCCTCGCAGCCTTTAATATCATGTTTCACAGGAGTTGCTGGCTATGGTGAGGCATGAAAGAAAGCTCATTAGCAGGTGGTCATCTGCATAATAAGCTTGAAATCTTCCCTCGGTGACTAAAGCCGCAGTGCATTTTGGGGAATGTGGATTGTCATTACAATATTTGATTGCGTGCCATATAAATCTGCCATCTGAATAAATCAACATCAAGCAACCAAAGATGGAGACTGCTCCTTAAACTCTGATATATTTGATCTTTTCTATAAATAAGACATTTTTGAGAGCCTAACTAACCTGATAACCAGTCTTTCTAATGAGGTTTGATGTGGTGTTCTTTCAGCGACACATTCCACGGATGGAAAACACACTATTGTCACACGTTTTTGTGGTTTTTGTGTGTGTGCTCCTCAAAAGAGATCTACAGTAGCATATTAATGTACAGTAAGCATCCAACATCATCTGCGCTTGCGCCGGGAACAGCGGGAAGCGCGCGTAGCATATCAAGCTAGCCCAACGCGTGTTGACATTCATGTCTTGCATGTGTCTGCGTCTTCGATTTTGTCCGTTCTATTGTTTGTGTACTCGCATGTGCTGTAAAAGTGACGGAAATGGGTCCGGTTGGGAAACTAATCTAAAGTCATTGCGCGGCCAGGCGTGAAGGGGAGCAGTGGAGTCGATACTCTCCACTATCATGTTGTCATGCTGCGGTCCCACTTGTATTTTCTCTCCTCAGTATTCACCACGGGCCATCCTATAATCCCTAACAAATCTCTGAGATCATACAAATATTCAGCATAGGCAAACAGTACATTGGCTTCATTTGAATGAACTTTGCAAAGTCGGGGTGCTGGCTGGGATAGTCTCCAGCACCCCCCCCGCGACCCTCGTGAGGATAAAGTGGATAGAAAAATGGATGGATTCATTAATTATGTTAATGAATGTTAACACACTGGTACTATTTATGCTGCTGTAGGGGATAGACAAAAAATAATAATAATGCATTGGTAGAACATACGAACTCTGGGCACAAGTGATCCAAGCTGAGAGCAAATTGGATATCTTCTTGCTGTGAGGCAGAAGTGCTAATCACTCTTCCACACTTACGCCCGCCAATTTCGGGGTCACCAACTGTCAGTATAAAAAAAAATGCTGTAAGTAAGGCAATGCTACTTTAATGGGGTTGCCGTGGACAAGCGATCATGATCGCTACCTTCCACCCGTGAGGATCATGCTTCAAGTCATTGAGCGGCAGAAGAATTTGGGCAGACAAATCTTTCAGCTTTGTCAAGTGTTGACGGAGCTACAGAGGATGAGCAACG